CGGCCTCTATAATCCTCAGAGCTTCTTCTGGTTCCAGCTTGTCGAAGAACCCTTGAGTCTCGTCCCGCTCGCGGAAGCTGAAGATGAGATTCACGACCAGACCCTTGAATGTGTTGAAGAATCTGAAAGCGTATTGAACAATCTCAAGATGGGACAGGGCGTGATTCTTCGGCTTCACTATCGTCGGCGGTCTCTGGTGCTTGTCCGGCTCCTCGATCCGGACGATCTTGGTCGGGAGCCTCGAACCCTGTTTAGCCTCGTACTCTTCCATGAGCTTGGCGTAGTTCGGTCCTGGATCAGGCGCCTTCATCAACGAATCTCTGAACCTGTCCAGACTCGCTTTGTACAAAGCCAGTGTCCTCTCCCCATACCTTATAACTCCGGTGACGAACAAAAGCACCGCCGGAATCCACATCGGATTCGGAAGCGACAACGCGACGGCGTAACCGCCGGCGAGAAGCTGGAACACGAGGGAGAACAAGTGTCTGTGCCAGAGGGCGTTGTCTTCAAGGGCCAGGGCGGTGATGGCGTCAGGACCGCCGAGGTGTAAGAGAAGAAACGGCGTCCACAGAGCCATGAGCTTCTTGTCCATGAGCGGGTCGCCTGGTTTAGGGTCTTTGCCCTGGTTCTTGGTGATCTGAGCCACCGTGTAGTTGGCGGCCCAGTCGGCTAAGAGATAAGACAGCCAGACGAGGACGGCCACTAGGGTTCTTGACGTGCGGCGGCGAGAGGGCGCGACCAGGATGAGGATTGTCTGAAGGGACAGAGAGAGAATGATCATCCCCCTTATGTTCCATCTGTCCCAGACATCTTTGATGTCTTTGAAAAGACCTTCCTTTAAAGGGCTTATCTGTGGAGGAGAAGCTCCATGGCTCCCAGACATTGTTTTCCTTCGCCTCTCTCCAAGAACAGAGAGGCTTTGGGGAAGAAGGAGAGAAGAAAGGGTTTTTTTTTCTTTTTTCTTTTTTTTTTTTCCTCTATCTTTTTTCTTCAATCAAATCAAAACAAAAGTCTGTCTTTTTCTCCATACAAAAAAAAAAATCTCGTCTTTTTTCTTCGAGATGGGTCCCAGAGTAGTGTGAATGCATCTCTGCACTTTTTTTTTTTATTCTATACATATAATCTCTATTTTCGTGTTTTTAGATCTTTTAATCCTTAATTTGTAATGGAGAGAGTGTATATATTTATTTAAATTGTACGAAAAATGATATTAGTCTAGTTTAATAAACTAAGAAAATTGTGAAATTAGTACACTGTTAATTTCTCGGATAAAATAAACTTTTAGTCTTGGACAAAAATAAATAAATTAAATTCTAGTTTTAAAAAACGGACAAGTTCATAAAATCCAATATACAGAGAGATATGAGTTATTGGGATAAAAATGATGAGTATGGGTGTGTTTTAATCAAATTGTGCTAATTCCCTTTACATTTTATGAACTATTTGCAGGACTAAATAATATATATATATATATATATATATATATATATATATATTCAAGTATCCCTATCAGCAAGGATACATTAGCTAATTATAAAAATTATTAAGTACAACGTTGCGTTTTTTTGTTGCATGTTATATACAGCTTTCCAATACATTAGCTAGGGGATAAAAATAAATAAATAAAAGAATGATTATATATTCGTGTTATTAAAATAATTCAAATGGCGTGGTCTTTCCTTATCCTAATCGAAAACTTGCCATTTTCTCAATTTAAACAATGACCAATAGAGTTGAGATCATGGGTTTTGTATTTTTATTTATTTATTTTATTATTACGAGATGTAAGTCCTAGATAGGAGTAGGCACAGATCGGATATTCGTAATTTTTTAGATATCTATATCCGATCCGCATAAATACTCGATTTTATTATCCGCATTGGATCCGTCATTTACGGATATCCATAATTTCGGATATCCGTAAATATCGCGGATATTTGTGAATATCCATATCCGACATAAAAATTATAAAAATTTAATTCAAATTTAAATAACAATTTCAAATATAAATAAATTATACAAATTATTTAATTTAAATGTTATTCATAATTTAAAATTCATAATTTAAATATTTTAAATCAATTCAAATACAAATATAATCATAATCTATAGTTCAAAATTCAAAAAATTAAACATAATAAATATTAATATTCAAAAGATTAAACATTCTAAATCTCAATATAAAAAAATATTTTTTTAAATAACCCTACTAAACATGTAAATATAAAGCATTTTATATTTCTACAGCAAATTATTTTTATATTTAGTAATATTATTAATTAGTATCGATCGGATCGGATATGTCGGATAATTCGAATTTGATATCCGTATCCGACAAATATTTCAAAATAAATATCCGTATCCGATCTGTAAACTTCATATATCCGAATTTTCAGTTCGGATACGAATCAAATAACATATTGGTCTGATTTTTTCAAATATTATGACCACCTCTAGTCCTAGGTTACAAGGCCCACGTTCCCATTTGCACGGTTTTACTAAATCTTTTTCTTAGCAATTCTAAATGAAACTCATATAATAATAACAGTTAGATCTGTAATACATATTGAACATTCAATTTCGGTGGGTCTTTCTTTATTTTAATTTTAAAAAAAAGGATGACTAACGGCTTGTTGAAGAATATGTTTGCAAAATATGAAACAAAAATATCTAGTTCATGTCCATCCATCCATAATATATGCATAGTTGCATACGTACGTACGCACGTACATACATACATACATACATACATAGGTATGTATAGCAGAGTAGATAGAACATCATTAACATAACCTCGTACGAGTAAAAGAATTAACAGAGGAGAGCATTATGATTACTATAGGGCCAATGCTACTACACAAAAGCTTGAGAACAAGACCGTGTATTCTACAAGCAAGGCCTCACCAGATGTGTCCTAGCAAAAAGACAAGACAAGATAGACTTTGGAAGAGAAAACCTTCACCTGCAACAGAGAGAGAGAGAGAGAGAGAGAGAGACCTTGTGTTTTGTTTCTCCTCAAGTATGTTTTTTTTTTTCAGTGTGAGTTTGAAGGCAAATTCCAAGGAGATTTGGTGGCGATGAGGATTTTCTCTCTTCCATGGGAACCAGGTTCTTTCTCGTGTATAGAAGAGGACCATCTTACAGCACGAGCGATGCTTTCCACTTTGTCTATTACTTCCGGAGAGTCTCTAATCAAAACTGTTCCTTCTGGGCGCAAGATTCTGTCCATCTCCACCATTAAATCTACTAAGCTACACCTGCAAGTTTATATCATAACATCACTTACTTCCCCCCATTGCTTGTAATCCTACCCGAATGGACAAGACATGTACCCGAAGATGTTTTTTTTTAAACTTTTGTTACCTGGTCTTGCTTGACCTCGGTTGTCTTATAAGTGATTCGATTCCAGATACATGGATGAAATCATATGTACGAGGATACGTTGAGAAGGGCTCGCACCTGCAACCGCCAGTAAAACTCTTTAGCAATGGTAATAGAAGATAGTCTGAACATTTGAGGTGATAATGGAATCCAACAACACACGTACCAATCGTGATAAGCACCGATGAGACCTCTGTCGTAGATCACATCAAGAGTTAATGGGTTTCGAGCCGGAATGACGTTCATCACCCACACAGGATCAGATGCAAGTGATGCTGCAAAGCCTCCAAGGAAGGCGTTCATGTCCATGACATTGCGAACAGATGGAGTTCCGAGTTCCAAGTTCAGAGAGTTCTTGTAATAAGCAACACGTCTTGCCCACCGCCTAGCATCCGCCTCAAAGACATCTAATCCATTTTTCACGACGACGGCCCTAGAAGGAGCTTTAGTGAGCCTGTCCGGCCACTTGGGTATAGCCCCCAAAGCGTATTGTCCTTTGACAGAAGATGCCCTGGTGACACACTTCTTCAGTTTATAGTACCTGTGCCACACAGAAGAAATAACAATTAGGATGTCACCTACAAGAAATCATTTTGGACTAATGTTCACATTCACACAATTCTATAAGAGCCACGCTTAACAAGAATTGCATGTTATACCCAAACACATAGCAATTTTTATTTTTGGGAAAATTACCATGCATCGCTTGGGGCCACTGACTCATCACACAACTCAAGTCCGAACTCGTTCTGGCTGGGGAGACACGAATCTCCAACAGGCTTCTTCCAGATCACTGTGTTTCCATCCACAGCAATCAGCTCATAACACAAAGCTCTAGCCGCAGCCTGAAGATCAGCCCATTCTTTGTCTTGTTTAGGCCATTGTACAGGTGGGCCAGAGATTACTACATATCCTCCCGGGCGAAGCAATCTGTCCACTTCGATGAAGTAAGTGGCATCTGCAAATGAGACACAGACCACAATAAGAACAGGTGATAGGCGCTGGCGGATTCTGCATGACGTACCAATGGATCTGTAGGAAGGGAGACTCACTGTGAGCCGTAAAAGGGATCAAGCACCGAGAACAATGCACCAGGTCAAAAGAGAATGCGGGAAAAGGGAGTCTACGAGTGCCAAGCATGGCAACAAATGCAGGTATCCCTCTTTCCAACGCAAACTGAATCTGTGCTTTATGCGAGTCTCTTGGAGCAAATGAGATGGCTAGAATGCCTTGAGACAGTAGAGTGCCTCCAAAGCTTGCTACCTGAGAAGGGATGTAAGGTCCTAACGATACATAAACCGGAGAGCGAAAAAAAAAAAAACAAAAGAAATTGAGATGATTCTTACCCCGCAACCCATGTCGAGGGCTGTTCTAAGGGTTCCTCCGCTTATGGGAATATACTGCCCGAGTTTTTCAATGTATTGGCCAGCCCCGCCAGGGAACATGGTGCCACCGCCTGGGAAAATGAAGTATTCCCCTTCCCTTTTCATCCACCCTTGGTGACCTTTCCTGTCAGCAATTTTGTTGTACGGCATGTTTGCATGCCAAATCTGCAATTTCAACCGCCCAACTCTTAACATTTTCTTATGAAACACATACAGCAGACAACATTCAATCCAACAAAAAATCCTCAGGACCACCTAGAAAACTAGACGGCAGCAAAATCTAAGTAGCTCATACAATGATATGGCAATGGCATTTATAGTTATTGTTGCATGGAACAGGTTTACTTAAGATAAGCCTTCCTATATACCAAAACAACAAACCATCGGGACAATCTGAAACAGTAGGCTCCCTTTCTATAGCTTCAACGAGAATCTGGCCCTCTTATTCAAGCGTAACCGCTATGTAATCATCGGCCCACCATTAACTAGTGAACCCAGCACCATAAACATGATCGCACTGCATTTCCTCAATCCAAAAACCAAAGGATAGGAAGAAGAAAAGGGCAGAGAGAAATCACCTTATGCAAGCTGTCTGGCCACCGAACCGGAATCTTATAGCCAGGAGGAGGAGGAATCAAGCAGAGAGGAGTCTCCTCAGGCAACGGACAATGTCTCTCCCGATAGAAATTCATCTCTCGACTAAGCTGACTGTTCCTCCGAGGATCCTCGCATGGCATGTGATCGACGGCTTCCGACGAACAGTACTCAATCGGCTGCTGATGCTGACCAGCCTCCACAAGCGCCACGAGGCGTTGCCGCTGAGCCGGATCGGAGGCCGTCGAGAGCAGCAGAGCCTGGCGCCCGGAAGCCGCCATGGAATCGCCGAGGGGAGTGAAGATGAGGAGGAAGAAGAGGAAGACGATGGCGAAGAAGGCAGCGGAGACGATGTCGAGGAGCCGCCATTGACGGGAGCCTCGCTTCGAAGCAGGCAGATTCAGGTGTCCCATCTCGCTTCACCGCTCGAAAATGACGAAGCGATCCGATCCTAGATCTTATTCGTCACAGAACGAGGATATGGCGAAAGATCTGAAGATTTGTCGGCGATTTAATTAAAAATATTTTAATCACGGAAATACAGTAAATTTTATCCGGTTTAGTTCGGTTCCGTCCGGTGCAATTTTAATCTCTTGCGTCGTCATAAAGCGTCATCTTGTCCGGTTTTCCGACCAGAGAGAACACACCTAATAACGGTAGTCGTTATATACACACACATATATATATATATATTTAAAAACTCTTTTAGCATACCGTAAAATTGATTTATAAAATAGAAACTTTATTGCAAAGGGAAGTAGGAACTTTATTGTAAAAAAAACGGGCACTTCCATACATAGTTTATGCATATGATGAAAATCCCGTCACACTGATACAAACGGAAACGAAAATGACAACCGTCGAGACATGTCTTTTGGCACCAGTGACATTAACATATATTTTTTTGGTGGGTAAAAGGGAAGAGGGGACCCTCTCTTTCAACCAGCGACTTTGCGAATGTAGGGATTGGAATGGGGCTGAGATGGCCTCAAGGACAAGTCCCTCGACTCTGCCCCCATCCACCCTGCCTTCATCGGCGGGCCCCCCGCCGTCTCGGTTACGCCCCTCGTGCTCCAGCTCTTGTTCAACGATTCTGCCCGACCCGATTTACCGAATTTAAGTCAGTGTACACAACAGGCAGAGAGAGACATTTCATAACTCGGAACTCGAAAAACTTACGAGGACTCTTCCTTCCAGGTGGTCTATATTTCGCATCCTTGGCAGTGCCCTTCACAGGTTTGTTGTTCTTCGTCACATCCTTCAATGATATATTTCACATCTGTCATCTTTCCACTACTCACGATGATAAAAACTCGCTGAACATCAGAGCAACTAGACATGGACAGACAGAAAAGTTACCTGATTAACCATATCCAGCTTACGTTGGACACCAGTGTTAAAATATTGACCATTATTCGCCTTTGGAGTAACATAGCTATCCACTGGCTTATGATTGGCCACAGCCACGGGAAACCTCCTCGTGGATTGTTGCTCGAATGATCCCCTCATCGGCCCAACTAGAACTACACACAAAAAATGAATTAGGTTTGTGGCAATCCAATGTATGCAAACTGTTGTGACTTGTGAGGATAGAAAAAAATCATTAAATTATGGGCAATACCAGGTGGAGGAGTTCTTGCAGCGGTCGGTTTAAGACGGAGAGATGGGGGAACATAGAAACAACTCTGCCATGGAAAATCCCAAATAAGGTTAGGGGGAAGCTACAGACAGTAACAATGACATATCATGTCCGAGCAAACTAAGATATTGATACCTGGAAGAACGGATGCTGCAGAGCTTCTGCAGCAGTTGGCCTTTTGCAAGGATCCCATGAGCAAAGGCGCTACATGATCATGAAAATGGTGGAGATTATGAATCAGAATTAGGAATATAAGTAAACAACGGAGTATTTTGCTATTGAAAAACATTCTCAATTACCGCAATAAGGTTAATTGCATTTCTGCTTGCAGACGGTATCAAGCTTGAAAGGGAAACACCAGGAAGCTGCAAGGTAATAATCGTTATAACCAAATGTAAGAATTGGTTAAACCGGAACTTTTCCTGACAGATCCAGGCTGAGTAGTAGTACCTGAGGAAATTGGAAATTGATAGCTCTGGCAAGATTAAGCCCCTCAAGCCAAGTCTCCTCAGTTGGGCTGCCAATGACACTACATATTTTGTAGATTTCATCTGCTTCACTGCATGGATTAAGAAGCGACAATTCATTCATTCATTCACCAGCCTTTTTACAGTGTTTCTTAATCAGAAAAACATGTTTAAGATGCATACTTAGCTCCAGGAAAGAGAGGTCGCAGCGAGAACAACTCGGCCATAATAGCTCCCATTGCCCACATATCTGAACAACAATCCTCTAATGGTTAAGCAATGGGTTTTGCTTGCAATAACTACACTATTACATCATTAAAAGACACTGGTTTAATTGGCACTGTGCTTATACTAACCAACTTTTTCGGTGTACACGTATGACAGCAGTACTACTTCAGGCGCCCTGTACCTGATGGACCAATACTCATGGTCATAACAAGCACTACGACAGCTATGTACACAAACATACTAAGAAACATAAAAAGCTGAACATATATATTCACCAGAAGACAGAGAAAATATACATGGATACTAATCTTCCAATGAAGCAATCACAGGGAAGTGAAACTTACCAGCGTGTAGAGACATACTCTGTAAAGGGCGGGCTTGAATCAACTTCCCGGGCTAGACCCAAATCAGCAATCTTGATGACGTCTTTAGAGACAAGAAGGTTTTCTGCAACACCAAAAGAAAGAATTATTTCAGTAACACAAAGGAGGAAAACAGAAAATCCATCTCCGTGCATATGTCTTAGTCACTATGCAGGATGACAACTCAAGGCCATAAAATACCTGGCTTAAGGTCACGGTGGAAGTATCCACGCTGATGCATGTATGACAGACCCTGGAAGACTTGAAAGCACCAGTTTTTTATATCAGCTTCAGCAAATAGCTTTTGACGATCCTTCAGAAGCTGGTAAAGATTGCACTCCTGATCAAGTAAAATACAAATAAGACTTAGCGAAACGAATAAAAGTAATGGAAAAAAGAACAGAAAAAGGAATCAATCAACGGTGTACCATGTACTCAAAAACAAAGTATAGGATATCATTTTCCCGGATGACTTCCTTCAGCTTCACAATGTTCGGATGATTCATTCTCCTAAGTGACTGCCAGAAAAAAAAGGAATTTATCAGCAAGCGCACAGTGACCATAACATAAAACTACAAAGAGAGCAATAAATACTACCTTCACTTCTCTCAGATTTATACATTCTTCCCACGAGTAATACTTCTTTTTCATCCTTTTTATTGCAACCTGCCCATGGAAACCTTAGTTAGCCAGAAATCAAGCACAACTTTCACAGGCACATAGATTTCTCTGAGAAAGCAACTTACAACTTCATCCGTCTCCTTATTGATAGCTCGCCAAACAGTCCCAAAAGTACCATCACCAACCTCTTTGATTAACTTGTACCTAAAATAGCAAATACCAAAAACAAGCACCCAGCAACTGTAAATTGCAGCCCAGGAAACCACAGATCATAATTGGTAAATGAAAAACAAACATACCTCTCCATTGCCTTCCCGTTACGCAAAGTATCTCCTTTATTTTATGTATGAAATATAGCTTCTGAAAGATATATATATAACATAAATCTTCCAGTCGTTCTCGTTTGTAGCAAGAACAGGATAATTCAGCCGCAAATCAATGACTCTCTAGCTGGGTAGACTGACCCTTATTCACTTTCAAATCCATGGGATGAACACCAAGGGAAGAGAGAGACAGCAAGAAAAGATGACCAAACATACTGAGAACTGGTAGACACGAACGAACCAACAAGAACGAAAGTGCTGGCTAACAGGAGGAACCCTATGCACGCGACAGGACACTCAGGGTTTCACAAACTCGAGGAAAAGGCCATCACATCCATACTTGTCGGAACAGAGCAGAACAAACACGAAAGGGACATTATCCTTCTTTAACCAGTACCCATTAGAACCAGATTTGGAAGAGGGACTAACAGATCGTGTCTGTAGGGGGCAGATTTGAGTGTTTAGCTAGGGCTATGCAAAGGAAGGATAATTCGCAGACTTCAGGCCTGCAGGGAAACAAAAGGATGCCAGACAAACGATCATGTTGAGAATATAAAAAAAATGATACAGAAGAAAATCCAAAAGTAAACAGCCTATAGGTTTCTGAATATTTTGTGAGTTTGACTATAAAACTCAATCAAATTAGTTTCCTTTCTGAATTCTATTCTATAGAGTCTCTAATTTCCTATTTTTTCCCTTTCTTTCCTTTTAGATTTTTCCAATTTTCGGAGAACAACACTTTTCCATATTTTAGACTTTCCGTATTCTTTTGTTCATACTTCTAAAACATTTAATAATCTACAGAAAATTCTTCTCGTAATGCTGAAAGTCAAACTATACTACATTTAATCCAATCCTGCATTAGACAACAGCAGATCCGTAGGATTCAGAGTCGTACCAAAATGCACATTACACGGAACACAATTTTCACAAATATCATAAAGACATTTCTAAACCGAACAATCATATGAAGAAACTTGTTAAAAAGACCATACCTTGCATGACGCCTTCCCTAAAGATCGCGGAAAAGGGGTCTGAACACTAAGTGCAGTTGACAAAAGAAGCCATGAGGAAATTCGCACGAGATAGAAACCGCCAATCGAGCACTTCTTGGACCAAGAAAACCCGACACTGGTAGCAGTTTGGCAAGAAGCAAACTTGTTCCATATCTCAGAAAATAAAAATCCACCTAACCTGAGAGAATAGAGGAAGAAGCACTTCAAATTGTTAGCAACAGTAAGTATGCATAATAGCTATATATATAACAAAAGAATTCCTCGCTGAATCACATCATACACAGAAAGCACATAATCAATCAAAAGAAAATTCAACAGACTCCAATCAGTACCCGCAAAAATCTCAAGTTTCATCAAATCCAATAAGCACAAATCGAATCGTAAATCACAAAATTTCAGAAAAAAAAAAACAAAACCCAACTTCAAAACCCTAGCGCAACGCAAAATCCCGAACCGTTGATCAATTTTTATCCGAGATCTGAAAAGACGGAGAAAATAATAATCCAATACGGGAAAATTTAAAAAGCCCCGAGATGGATCCGCGTAACCCTTAAATCATGGGAAGAAACAGGATCGGAATACATCAAATCGGACTCCATCGTCGGGCCAAGACAGATTCCATCCGCGACCCCGAAACAAACCAAAAACCAGATCAGATCCAATCGGATCAATACCGAAACACACGAGAACAAGAGAACGAACGAAGAACCAACATCGTCACATCCGCGAAGATACAACCGAATCCCGTTCATACACCGCGATGGAGAGAGATTCCAGTACCTCAGAGCCAAAGGGTAAAACCTCAGTCGCCGACAACGGGAAGATATTGAACCCGGAGATTCTATTCCTTCCTTCCTCCGGACCCGAACTACGACTTCTCTCTCTTCAAGATATCTCTCCTTGGCCTCAATCCCTCGGTGTGCTATTATCGTGAACAAATGTATATATACGTATATAGTGTTTCCTTTTTGGTTCGTAAAATAAACAGTAGACGCGTCCTTCTTCGATAACCGTTAGATTTTGTTAAAGTGACGTCATCTTCAAGATCCACCGTTCGATTCTTGAGAATCACCATATCTTTACGTGGCCGCCTCTTTTGGCCTTTTCCTCCGTCTTTCCTTCCAAGTTTGCATACAAAGGATAAATAGGGGATATTTTCCTATACCAATTTAGTAAAATATAATTTTTTTCTATACGAATTTTTAATTTGATAAAAACCTACACTATATTATCATATGTCCCAAATCTATATACGAATTACCTAATTTTACTGCAATTTACTACACAATCCGAAACGGTGTTAAAATGTCTGTTAATTGATGACGTGGAAGGCCACGTGGCGGCTGACGTGGAAGGCCGTGTAAAAATTTTACCACGTCAGCACGCCACATCAGATTTTCAAAAAAAATAAAAAAAATCAAAAAAATTAAAAAAAAATCAAAAAAATTAAAATCGAAAATAAAATAAAATAAAATAAAAAAATAAAAAATACATATATATACATATATATACATACAAACATATATAAATACATATACATATATACATATATATATATATAAACATAAGCAATACATATATATATATATACTGTATATATACATATATATATGTATGTATACATATAAAATATAAAAAAATACATGTACATACATATATATATACGTGTATATGCATATATATTCATATCTATATACAAATACAAATATAAACATATATACTCCTATGTATTAATATATTTATATATACATGCAAAATAAAAAATATACACATATATATACATGCATCTATACAGATATATATATATATACATACGTACAAATATATTTATATATACATAAATTTTTAATTTGATATACAAGTATATATTCATATATACATAAAAAAATAAAAAATACATATATATATATATATATACATACAAATATATTTATATATACACAAATATATGTATGTATATATATTTGTATATATATATATATATATGTGTATATATGTATGTATATATATTTGTATAGATATATGTATATATATGTGTATATTTGTTATTTTGTATGTATATATAGATATATTTATACATAAGAGTATATATATTTGTATTTGTATATAGATATGAATATATATACATATACATATAGATGTATGTATATATGTATTTTTTTTATTTTGAATGCATACATATATATATATGCATTGTATATGTTTATATGTATATACATGTATATATGTATATGTATTTATATATGTGTATGTGTGTATATATAAATATATTTGTATGTATGTATATGTATATATGTATTTTTTTTACTTTTTTATGTTTTTTTTTGAGAATCTGACGTGGCGTGCTGACATGTCAAAAATTTTCATGTGGCCTTCCACGTCAGTCGCCACGTGGCCTTCCACGTCATCAATTAACGGACATTTTAACACCGTTTCGGATTGTGTAGTAAATTGCAGTAAAATTGGATAATTCGTGTATAGATTTGGAACATTTGACAATATAGTATATGTTTTTGTTAAATTAAAAATTCGTGTAAAAAAAGGTCACATTTTACTAAATTGGTGTAGGAAAATATCATTTTACCATAAATAAATCATAAAATATTTTATTTGCATCCGATGGTTCTCTACGCAAAACAAAATCCCTTATTATTTTAGATAATAAATTAATATTTATTTATTTATTTATTTAAATAGATGGTGTGACATTTTTTGTCAGAATTTGAGATTATCAACCATTCGGACATATCTTTACTTCAATCGTCCCCATCCCATGTGAGATGCATCACGCATGTATTGTTAGGTCTTTTTTATCATTTTAAATTTATAGTAGCACCTCACTTTCCAACATTGAAAGTAAATTTCGACATTTTCAAAATTATTCGATCTTTATATTAAATTCGATTTGCACTATAATAAGTTCAATTTTTCGGTTATTTTTATTTTATTCAGATTTGAATTTATTTTTTTAATTTTAGAGAAATTATAAATTTTCCGCATCATGATTCAACGAGAAAGATTATATTATTTAAACATATGGGCCAAAAATAATGGAAAACATTCATGGGCCCGGTCCATGTTTTACAGCCCAATAGCAACTTTCTCTTACAGATCAAATATATGTTTAGCGGCCCAAACTATATTTTAATGGCCTAATAGGGATGTTTTTAAGATGGCCCAATTCTATTTTATCGTATTCATTTGTTTTTTTGTTTTTAATCTCCAGTAAGAAGCTTTTTTTTTTTTTTTTTTTTTTTTTTTGGGGGACAGAGCAGGACGGAGAGATGGAGTTTTACGACGAAGACAGACCAAGGCTCGTCTTCCAGTCTCGTCCCTCGCCGTCGCCGTCATCCTCCGTCGCGGAAAACCCTAAGAACTTGAGCAAAGTCTTCACCTCCATATCCGTATCTGTCGCTCTCCTCCTCTTCTGCCTCTCTGTCTTCTATCTCCGATCCGAGCCTTTCAAATCTATTCTCCTGTGGCTCTCCCTCTCCCTCCTCGCCGGACCCTTCGCGCCTTCTTCCCTCACCGGCGGTCAGATTCGTGTCGGTCATGGCCGGATCCTTGAGCCAGAGCCCGTCGATGAGCAGCCTGCGGAAACTGAGCGTGAATCTAGGAGAAAAACGGTGAACAAGAGATCCAAAGGGCTGAATCCTGATTTCCCGCCGGAAATAGCGTACCCAGTGCCGGAGATCGCAGATTCTTTGTCGAGAAAAGTGGATCAGAATGAAATCCCGCATTCCGCGGGAACTGGGTCGGCGTCGGATGTGGAAATCAGGGACTGGACCGAAGAAGACATCGAGTTTCTGAAGAAACAGCTGACGAAGCATCCGGCGGGAAAGCCTGGCCGGTGGGAAGCTGTGGCCGCCGCGTTCGGCGGTCGGCACCGGCTCGAGAACGTGATTAAGAAGGCGAAAGAGCTCGGAGAGAAAAAAGCCAATGACAGCAACGATTACGCGCAGTTTCTGAAGAACAGGAAGCCATTGGATGGTAGAATGGCCGAGGAAAAAGCCGAGGATCCTGCGACAGGCGATGGTGAAGTCAAGAAGGAGACTTGGACGAACGGAGAAGACATTGCACTGCTCAATGCCCTGAAAGCGTTTCCCAAGGAAGTGGCGATGAGATGGGAGAAAATCGCGGCAGCTGTACCGGGCAAGACGAAGGCAGCTTGTATGAAGAGAGTTTCGGAGTTGAAAAAAGATTTCCGGAGCTCGAAACCTTCCGCCGGTAGCTAAGATGGGCTGCCTGAGGAAATCCATAGATAGGTTTCTTTGACCTTAAAGGTAATACCTTTTGATGGGTAAGAGAAGAGTAGATCGAAAATTTGAAGTTAGTGGAGCATTTTTCTTCCTAGAATTGATCTTTTAGATGGCCTATAGGGCAAGGATCCGAGTTTTGCCAAGAGTGAGTTGATTTGAGCTTATGCTTTACTGATGGTGTCAGTTTCAGACCAGAGTACTCATCTTAGTCTAATGCGCAGGTGCAAATGCATTAAATGGGTAGGTAGATAAGTTATTGATTGAGAATTGAGTAGAGGTGGTTGAACAGTGGAAAGAATAAAGCTAGAAGATGATGAAGAATCATAGAAAGTGAACAAACCTACTTCTCTTGGGTTCTTGGTGGCATGAATCTTGATGCTGGGTTGGCGTGCTTTGATTATCTGCTCACACCATTGATGGAACATATATCCTTATTTACATTGTTAATTTGTTACCAAGCTATGCATTTTTGTGTCTGGCTGTCTGCTAGTTTGAAGTCTAAATTTGTAGTGGAATCTCATGCTTTTAGTAGAATGACTAGAATTTGTTACAGTAATAGGTTTGGATTGGGAAAAAAGAATGTTCTGTTCTGAATATTAGAAGGAACTGGTTTCGGTTAAAGAACTGCTATCCCTTAGAGACTGATCTCATGTGGATCCATGAACTCTTTAGTAGACCGGCCAATCTTATCATCCGTCATAATACCTTGGAGCTATGCATTCAAGAGTTCAAAAGACTGCGGCCTTGCTTGTGTGGATCTTTACAGTTGCTATCATCAGATCAGATCAGTGTCTGGTGTAGAAGCTTTTGCAGAAGGGGCAGAACTGAATCATTCATTCTATGTTCTTGCAGTGTCGTCTCTCTTCGGTTTATCACACACTTTGTTTGTTTATGCATTGCATGTCTAACCCGGATGAGATTGTCAAATGCAGGAACACCGGTCGACTAATGGCAAGATTTTGATTCTTGGGACAGAACACACTTAGTTAGGATATACATTGGTATCACTAGATGGACCAGGAAGCAGATGAACAGCCCAGAAGAGGCCATTGAGAAGGTGGTGGTGTTTCTGGGTCAGTATCTATGGATATGCAGCATCAGCTGATGATGGAATTGAATGAGATTATTAGCTATTGTATCCAAACTTTTTTGTCTGAAGACTCATTTCAAAGACTTGTCCTTCTCTTGTTCTGTTTCTTGGATTGGAATTGAATTGAGCTGTTTCAATAACACAACATAATACCTTTTGAAATTCTTACCACTTCTTTGTTATACTGAACATTGACCAATAAAAACTAATCTCGGACGAATTCTCGCCGTTGGATCTGATCTTCGGAAGATCGAACGGCCAGGGATGGATTTCCCCGACAATCAATGAGTGGGGGTTCGGTTCCTCCACCAAACACAATTCCTACTCCCCGAATCTAACGGTCACGATTCGTCTGCGAAGTCAAACCAAAACATATTAAACCGGCGATAACCGGTATATTAACCTGCTTAGCCGGTAACTCCGTCTTAAATCCAGAGCTTTTGATTCTCCTCTTTACGCGATCTGTGTCCGCCACAAGTCCTGCTCTTTGGATTTTCCGGCAAAACGGGCGAGAAAATTCTCAGGTGACTTTCTCGTTTCGCCAAACGGCTCCCTTTTCGATTTGCGCCTCTTCATATTATCGTCTTTTATTGCCTAAATTCGAAGGAGACGCTCCGTATCTAGATTCCCAATCGAATTTTCGATGCTTTGGTAGTGAGATGCTGCTTGTTTGCCGATGGAATCCTGTTCTTTTCGTTTCGACCTCATCCTGAGATTTCTTTGTTCTACGGGAAATGGATCGGATGCTAATTACAATCCCGGAGTCGTTTGATCTGGTTGCTTGATTTTTTTTTCAAGGGTTCGCTGTGAGATGTTCACTTCTCTAATTTGCTAAATTCCTTGAATTTGGTACCCTTTTTATGATACTGATTTTTAAAAAAAAAATTTGGTTTCTGAATGTTGGAATTTTTGTCCTCGATCGTGTTTTCCCCTACCAAACTTGGATTGTGTTCGTTTAGATCTTTCATTGGATAATTGGAGGAAATTATGCTATTGCAGTTACATTGATGATCACTTTCTCTCGTGAAAATGCATAACGATTGGTGATGCTTCTTCTGCGTGTATATCTGCAGGCTATTCTCTGAGTGAAAGGTAAGGGATGGACTCCTTTCTCGAAGGGATGGATCGTGAATCATTCGAGTGCCCCTTTTATGCGAAGGAGATCCAGAGATGTCCTTTCTTGAGGAACATCGACAAGCCTACCCACTTTTCGCTCTCTCCCTTGAGTTTTCCCATTCCGGTAATGTTCTTTACCTTAGGCTTCTTCTTCCTGAAATCAGTATGCTTCAATCTTTAGTAATGTAATTGTCGGTCTGGTTGGCTTGATTTTCAGGTGCCGGGAGCTAGAGGTCCGATTTTTGAGGACGGTCCCAGTTTCGATACGGCGTTTAAAGTCTTCCATGGGAAGGATGGGATTGTGCCGCTGTCTGGAAGGTCTAGTTTTGATAATGATGATGATCTTAAGGAACATGAGACTGCTATTGTTCAGCCCACACAATTCAATCCATTAGCAGGAAATGTAGCCACAATAAGCCTGTCGGCGTTTGGCCCCGGAGGGCCTTTCAGCTTCGGCCCCTTCTCGGATAAATGGAAGAAGCAACAGAAGAAACCTAAACCATCCAACAACAAACAAGAGCCTTCTTCAAAGGTACCTCCAAAGATTTCATTCACCATGTTCTCGTTTGTTAACTTGATCTAAAGAAAGAAGAGGGAACTAAACATGAATTTATTTATTTATTTATTTACTTTGTTTGTTTCGTAGTCAGGGGATTCATCAAAGCATGAGGCTTTCGGGGACGAGTGGTTGAAAACTGGAAACTGTCCGATTGCCAAGTCATTCAGAGCAGTGAGTGGGGTCCTCCCTCTCGTGGCAACAGCTCTACGGCCGCCACCTGGCATGAAGCTGAGATGCCCGGCTCCCATAATTGCTGCGAGGGCCGCCCTTTCCAAGACTGCCTTGGTGAAGAACTTACGGCCACAGCCCTTACCCGCCAAAATGCTGGCCATTGCTCTCATGGGCATGGCAGCAAACGTGCCACTCGGTGTATGGAAAGAACACACGGAGAAATTCTCACTGTCATGGTTCGTGGCCATCCATGCAGCCGTGCCATTCATAGCAATGCTTAGGAAATCGGTACTGATGCCCAAGACGGCCATGGCTCTGACCATCGGAGCTTCAATCATGGGACAGATTATCGGGTCAAGAGCAGAACGTTACCGTCTCAAAGCAGCAGCGGAAGAGAGACAGAAGGCAGTGGCTGTTTCGGGGTACAGTGGCAGCCAAACTGAAGGTGTTTCCGGCAGCCACTGCGGTTCAGGGGAAGGAGTGAAGGATGTTTATCATGTCAATGTCGGGGAAATCTACTAAATCGGCCGGTCTCTGTTACCGAAATGGGAAGGCAGTGAAGAAGTCAGCAAAATATGATTTAAATAAGATGATTCCAGTAATCAGATTGTACGGACGAAATTTGAGAATTGGGTTATTAATGCTGAAAATGTATTCATACGATGAATCGTACAAATCATATATATATATATATATATGGGTAAATAAATCCATGACAAAACACACAACTTGCATGAAATTTCTGTAAACAAAACGCTGAATCCGCCAGTCCATCGAAAACTGTTAATGTACTTAGGGTGGAACTTTGTTGATCAAAAATTCAGAAATTGAACTTTTTTACAAACTGAACCGGTTCAGAAGAGTCTTCAGAGGAAAATGTTACAGCGACCAAACCCCCAAAACACCACCAAATGATGCGTAACATGATGATGATGATGATTAAAAAAAAACATAAAGATGAGATAACTTATACTGCAAGAAAAACCAAACATAGAGTACCATTTGGTGCCTGATCCCAAAATCAACACAAAAGAATTTTCACATCTGATGTAGGCGATGTGAAAAACAACATTCGAAACCCCCAAAAAAAAGGATGCAGAGAGAGAGAGAGAGACTGTACAAGTAAGCCTTCTTCAGTAGCCACCGACATGTTGCCTGGGTGGACCTCCTCCGTATGTTCCTTCGCCGGAAGATATTCCGCCGCTGCTATAACCACCACCACCACCCCTATTGTATTGCCCTGCTGGTTCACTCACAACACTTGGACAGTGTGCAGATACATGCCCACTTCCGCCATACTCTTTCTCATACTGACCCACTTGCCTTCCATCCATCCCCGTCTCTCCACGTGTACATGTGGTCCCGCCATTGAACGCTTCCGAGCTGCTGTAGTTCGAGTTCGCCTCCTCTGTCCTGAGTTTATCCATTGCTTCCAGCAGAAACCTCGTATCTGAGGTGTAGTTCACCTTCTCAGCTTTCACCACCGTTGCTCTTATCCTCTGTTCGTCGCTAAACGTCTCCTCCTTGATCTTCAGCTTGAAGTTATACTTTTTGAATGCCATCTTACGGATCACCTCCGCAAATTTCTCGTCATCTTGATGTTCGTGTTTCACGTAATACAGATCTTTAGCAGATATTCCCATTATCTCTTCACCAGCCTCCTGAAATGCTGTGACCCATGTTAGTCCCGTATGGTCCTGTATCTGGAGTTGCAGTATATACCTGTAGTCGCATTCAGCCACACACTGATCGCACTTGTCGCATCTCCATGTCCCATCTCCGTTGTTCGTGACTTTTTTGCTGCAGGGACGATCTCCATTCATGATCGGACAAGCCGTGTAGCAGAAATTGTCGGCTTTCATGTATATAATGGTTGCGTTGACGGTGATCCAGTCAGGCTTCTCTGAGGTACCGAGCTTCTCGTCCTTGATCTGGGAGATCGTTTTCCGAACATCTGGTTTCCCACTGCTGAAACTCTCCCTGGATATGGAGATAGAAGGCATGTTCCGGCCCTCTCTCTCAAACCATTCCTTCAGCTTACGGGATTCGGGAAAATCCGGGTTAATGAGTAGCTGACTTGATGCAATAGTGCCAATTGCCTTCCCGTTAAATTCACTGATCCTACCCGTCTTCACCGCAAGGACCGGGAATGAACCAGAGTCGCACAGATTTTGCAGGTTCTGCCCTTCGGCATTGCAGAAATTACCCCACATAGTCAACTCAACACTACGGCCAGACATATCCTTCAACTGAAGTGCTCTTTTCTGTGTTTCAGTCCCATTTTTCCGCATAATTGATGCAGTCGGGCTGATGGATGAGACAACACCGATAACATCAACTATGTTGTTGTTCTCCATGCTTTCGATATCACTGATGGAACGAAAATGAAACTTCTGGCGCGGAATGGCAGCATCATCCTCATAGCATGGTTGTATTGTTGATGCATTGTCCAGAATTATCTCGTAATCATTGGGGAGATGGTTAAAGTTTTTCTGAGCAGGTCGCAAACTTCCCCTTGAGATCAGATAAACATTACCAGCTACAATCTGGTCAAAGAATTGATCGGCCACAGCATTAAAACACGTAACCCGTATTTCTCCACCATCAGCATCAAGAAGATCAAAAGAGAACACCTTCCCATCCCCACGGGGATTGCTATAGTGCCTGAATTCTGATTTGCTTGTGACTCTGACCTTGATGGTCCACCGGCCCTGGTAAGGATTAAGGGCAGCAATTGGTATTATCCTAGGAGGAGCTTCGTTCCTAGCCACAGGTCCCCTATTGTTGTACATTGGTGGTGGTGGTTGGGGTGGATACACAGGCCGAACAGGACGGGATTGAGCGGTTGGAGGAGGCCAAGATTGCTCGTGCCTTGAGCTTCCATAACCTGCAGTCGGATTACTCCTCAATTCATTCCCTCTAGCTTGTTGCTCAAATCCAGGGTACCCAGAACCAGTGGCAAATGATGGATTTTGGCCAACTTGAGGTGAACCAGCTGCAGCATATCTCCCTGAGTCAGGAACGTTGATTTGACGGCTACCGCTCAATTCATTCCCTCTAGCTTGTTGCTCAAAGCCACCTATATGTGGTTTATCTCCAGTAACCCCTCCACGCTGATCAGTGGAGGCGTGACCAGGATCATTAGGCTTTCCCGCTTGTACAGGATTTCCAATTATACTATATTTCTCTACTACAATCTCCAGTTCAATAACAATAACGATCCTGCAAACAAGAAATCACATTTAAAAGATTATTATATATTCAAAAAAGAAACCACTGAATGGTTATCTAGCATGGTCCTCATCCATCAGTTTTGGATATACAGTCCCCGGTCTCTAACAGTTTCATCTGCTGGCTTTGAAATATTATGACATTCAATAACGACAGACAAGAGTCTAGAGATCCGAACTAAAATCTTATGACGCCATCTGTTCAACGGGTGCTAAGCAAAAGCTCTCAATAAAGCATGCTAATTGGCATATACGGCGAAACAAAATTGATGGGCTTTACGAACTTTTCAACACCGTTAAGTGCTACTCAACCAATCAAGATATATTTGACAAGCCTAAATGTATCCGCACGTTTACCTTCGACCTTGGATGAGATTACAGACGAAACGAGTGAGCTTAACAACCGAACCGGCTTGCAGAATCCCTCTTTTCACAAGATCGTTCTGAGAAGTTCCGAGCATCCCCTGTTGCAAGTAGGTCCCATCAGACAACAACATCCGAAACCTCTCCTTCATCGGCTCCCG